AAAAAAGTCTGTGGAAAACCGGGATGAGGATGAGTTATCCCAGTTTCCCCCTGGAGCTCATTCCCACATCCCAGGAATCGTTGGAGCGGGAATTCCCGCTGACCTCATCGAAGAAGGGGCTGTTCCCTTTCCGGATCCGCGTTCTCCGCGTTTGTCCGGCCACCGTCACCTTCACCACCGGCCGGATCTGGATCCCGGGAAGCTGCCGGGCCTCGATGACCCTCACCCGGATCTGGGATGGGATGGAGGACAGGGAATTAGCAGGATGGGAATCTCTGGGATCATCCCATGGGATGGAGGAGAATGAATCACCAGGATCATCCCATGGGTGGAAAGCAGGGAATCACCGGGATCTGGGATGGGATGGAAAACAGGGAATCACTGGGATTTGGGATGGGACGGAGGACAAGGAACCAACAGGATCATCCCACAGGATGGAGGACAAGGAATCTCCAGGACAACCTGCAGGATTTGATGGGAACACCTCATCCCACCTGGAAGTCCTGCGGTTTGTTGGATAACGGTTTTTTGGGAGAGCTCCTCCTCCTCCTCTTCACCCCCTGGATGTGATTCCCGGGCGGTTTCTTTGGGAATGAGGGTGCCTCTGAGCCAGGTGCTCCCGAGGATGCCGAGGGCTCTGTGTCCCCCGTGGCCTCCGGATCTTCCGTGTCCTCCTCTCCGGCCGTCTCTGCCCGGCAGGAGAAGGGAAATGTAGGATTTGGGAATGGGTTTGGATTCCAAAATCCGGGATGGGAAGGGGTTGTGGTTACCGGTGACCGTGTCCAGCTCGGCAGCAGCCGGGGCCGGCTCCGGAGGGGCCGGAGGCGGGAAAAGCGGGATAGCGCCTGGAGGGGGGATGTAGGACACCTGCAGGAACAGGGAAGCCTGGAAACAGGGAATGAGTGTTAGAGAGGCTGGGATGGGAGAGCTGGGATCAAACTGTGAGGGACAGGCTCAGACTGGGATTGAACTGGGAGGGAAGGGATTCAAACTGGGATTGAACTGGGAGGGAAGGGATTCAAACTGGGATTGAACTGGGAGGGACAGGCTCAGACTGGGATCAGACTGGGACAGAAGGGATTCAGACTCGTTCCAAACTGGGAACCCCAACTGGTCCAAACTGGGAGCCCAAAGTGGGAGCCCAAAGTGGGAGCCCAAAGTGGGAGCCACAACTGGTCCAAACTGGGAGCCACAATTGGTTTGCCATGGCTCATACTGGTCCCAAAATGGGAGCCCCAACTGGTCTCAAACTGGAAATCCCAACTGGTCCAAACTGGGAGCCTCAAGTGGACCCAAACTGGTCCCAGACCGGGAGCCACAACCAGTCCCAAACCAGGAGCCCCATCTGGTCCAAACTGGGAACCCCAGCCGGACCCAAACTGATCCCAGACTGGGAGCCCAAACTGGTCCAATCTGGGAGCCACAACTGGTCCCAAAGTGGGAGCCACAACCGGTCCCAAACCAGGGGCCCCAACTGGTCCAAACTGGGGACCCCAACCGGTCCCAAACTGGGAGCCCCAAGTGTTCCAAAC